GTGGGCCTGTTTTGGGCCTGATTTATTTTCAGCCAAACATGTGTCTTAATTTGGTAGCTGTGGATTTGAACCTAGTACCTCTCTTGCTTTAATACCATGTTAAATTGTCTGGTCATCTTATATAAAAGCTTATGTTGCTAGAAAGAACATACTTTTAATTAGTTATATTATGTCTCAACAGTTTATAGCAAAGCTCAAACAACTACAGTGTTATCTTGGTTGGCAAGTGTTTGATTTGTCAGCATTACAGATACATGTTCTGGGTTTGGCTTAGCCTGTACTTTTTTAATATAATGGTGTCATAAATTTCATGCCTGATATCTGAGGAACTAGGAGACAATTATACCACTGGCCCTTTTTCATCTCTTGCTTCCTTTTCTAGTTTTTAGAACTGTTGAATTTTGAACATCCAAGTGCATAATACAGTGGCAGGAAACTCTGCTGGTGTGAAGATACTCGCGGTGTTTGTTTCTAGAGCTTCAGGAGAAAAACTTACAAAGTATGCTGGTAACAGTGATGTGGAAGTATGGATAATCCCGAGCTTTGAAAATTCTGCCTGGTCCATCATGGCTATATCATTCATTTCGTTGCTCGCTATGTCAGCAGTACTCGCTACCTGCTTCTTTGTCCGTAGACATCGGATTCGAAGAGAACGGCCCCGAGCCTCACACGTTCGTGAATTTCATGGAATGAGTAGTCGTCTGGTGAAAGCAATGCCAAGTTTGATATTTACATCAGTTCTGGAGGATAATTGTACATCTGTAACATGTGCTATATGTCTTGAAGACTATAGTGTGGGAGACAAGCTTAGAATTCTTCCCTGCCGGCACAGTAAGTTTATCTCTCTTCCCAATGCTGTTAATTGCTTTGGCTATAAACCTGTGTGCTTCTGCTCGTGTGTTTTCTGTCTACAAAAGGTTAGTTACCTCATATATTCCACTATTAGGGACAAACATTAATGTTTTCTGCATGTATCTTTTGGATGATATTTTGCAGATCTATAACTCTACCAGACAAATAAAATAAATAAATATTATTCTACCACAACTTTTGGATTGAAGGAATGGTATGTATTTCAGCATTTCCACTCCAAGGACTTTCTGCACAAAACTTTGCATCTAGAGTAGATATTCAGATCTGTAAAACATTGCTTCAGGAGCGAATTGGAATTAGCGGTGTCAAAGTGGATCAGAAAACCATAGTCTAACTCCGTTGCAATATATCCTGTTTCTGAAGCCTTGCTAACCCCCCAAAAAAAGGTTTGTGGAAGTGGTCACCTGAGTTAATTTCTTTGGGAGGGATCAGAAGTCGCTAAGCTGCCATTTTATCCGAGTCTCTAACTAAGACAGCCTAGAGAAACGTTAAATTCCGATATGTTAGGTAAATTTGTATTCTCTATAGATGATGCAGTTACATCGAAGAAACATTTCCAGGAGTCTTCTTTCTTTTGTGCTTTTCGCTTTTGAAAGTTGTTAAGAAATGGACCTTGGGCCTAACTCAATTCCAAAAACTAGTTCATGAGGTGAGGATTGCCGAAAATCATATAAGGAGACAACCCATTTCCTCCTCCACCAATGTGGGGCACTTAACACTCCCCTCACCCTTATGCCTAGGAATGGACGTCTGGAGTGTAGACGACATAACATGGGGGCCCAACGAATAGGAATGGGTTTGGCTCTAATACGATGTTGAGATTGGACTTTGTGTCTAACTCAATCCAAAAGCTAGCTCATAGGGTGGGGATTGCCCGAATATTCATATAAGGAGACTTAACAATGTGGGACACTTAACTAAAGTCTTGAGTAAATCTCAAAAATTATATTCTGGGTCTGTTTGACTGTTTTTGTGAACATTATGATTATCAATGTCAAGATGCTAGCGGAACCTGATATAAATGTTGTTGCCTGTTGCTATCGAATCTTTAGGAGCATTTTAGTTTCCAAACTTCTAGGAAACAAACAGTGGTGAAAATGAAAGGCTACCGTTAGAAGAATTCTATCTCGTAGGAAATGACTAATTTAGTATATTTATGTGGGATTTACGTACTCTTCAGCTAAATGGAAGAACTTTAGGCAGTAATTTGTTGATATTTGCCATTTCCTGTCTGTTTTAACCAGATTTCCTCTCTATCGGAATTTTGCAGAATTTCACGCTATGTGCGTTGATGCTTGGCTTACATCATGGAGAACGTTTTGCCCTGTCTGTAAACGTGATGCAAGAACCGGCAATGGAGATCCTCCAGCATCAGAATCCACACCATTGCTTTCTTCCAGTCTAGCTTCTCTATCTTCATTGTCATCGTCTTTAGCTTCATCATCATCAGCAATACAAATAGGCCCAGGAGGATCATTCCGATCCCCTTCAGTTTCTCGTCCTCAATCAATCTCTACTACTCCATATAACCGCCAGTCACTTCAGTCCTACCATCAGTCTCCTCATCTTACTATAAGTCGCAGTTCACTTGACCTTCAAAATGCATCTTCCCAGAGATCTCGTGCGTCTACTTATTTGATTTCCTCTCACTCATTGGGGCTATCTCCTCTTAATTCAAGATACATGTCTCCATATGTTCCTAGTCCAGGAAATGCCTCGTCGAGTTATATTGGCTCCTCAAGTCGGTATCCAAACCCTCTGCGTCATAGTGAGTCGACCACTAGCTTTTCACCATTTGCTTCAGCTCAGTCTCTTCCGGGATGTGAGTCATGATCTGTTGAATCTGGGGTCAAGCTTGTGCTACCCCTTGTTTACAGGGATCAATGTGGTTGTGTTGTTTGCACCTCAAATCACACACCTAAAGACAGTGCGACAACTCTGGAGATCAGCAGCTCTGGCACATTGACAGATGGAGGAATATGGACAGGAACCTCTAGATTTGTACATTATCGCGTGACATTCCCTTATGTTGGTTAAAGGAGGGATATATTCAGTTTTTATTTTGAGGTATTTATGAGTGTACACACGAAAAGCAATGGGTGTTCATACTGTATGCAGTTGCCCCTTTTACATATCCTTCTTGTTTTTTTGTTTTGCTTTTGTTTGTCTAGTGTTATTGATGTTCTTAGTAGTCTCGTTTAGGTCTTTTCGTTGTAACCATTCGCTTAGAGCTCGAGCTTGTATGTAGATAATTGTTATGGAGGTGACTTTGTTGTATGTTTGAGCAGGATACTTTTGTTATGTCATGAATTCAGGGTAGAATAGCATGTTTTTTGTGTGTGGCTGTTGGGGGTAAGGGTGGCCTTTTGAAGAGAAATAACTTTTTTGGGTATTCTTAAATACAAAGTATTTTCATTTGTCTATTGACATGCAAAAGAGAAATGTTATCCCCACTCGGCCAGACACAAGTTTTACAGGAGAAATTCAAAAATAGCCAGATTTATAAGTGGTCATTCAAAAATAGCCACGCTTTCAAAAGTAATCGAAATTTAGCCACTTTTCATATAAAGATAAATCTGAGCGAAAATACTGTTCAAAACCCGGAAAATATGCCAGTATATTATGCTGGAGTTCCAGCATAAGTATACTTGAACTCCAGCATAATATACTGGAGTTCCAGCGAAGTATACCGGTCCAGTATAATAAGCTGGAAGTTCATACACAAGTGCTCGAATCTCCAGTATATTATGCTGGAACTTTCCGTGTGTTGGAGTTCCATCATAATATGCTGGAAATTCATACACAGGTGCACCGAACTCCAGCATATTATGCTGGACCGGTCTCTGTTGCAGCAAAATAGTGGTTATTTTTCAATGACTTGGCAAACGCTGGCTTTTTTGAATGACCAGTCCGAAAACTGGCCAGCCCGTGCTATTTTTACAAGTTTTACTTGTTCAAATAACAATTAAGGTAAATCAAGGTCAGGAACGACCAAGAATTTCTTTAGATAAACAGATACATTTTACAATTATTACGGGTAATTTTTACAAAAGGAATATTTCGTTGGCCCATATAGATCTTGGCTTGATGGTTTTCATCTTTCGGCTCAATTATTTGCTCAATTATGGATACCGGGTGTGTTTGGTACCAAAGAAAATATTTTTTCAAAAAATGAGTAGTTTTATCACTTATTTTCCTTTGTTTGGTTGGTGAGTAAAAAACATGTCGGAAAATATTTTCTAGTATTTGGTTAAAGAATAAAAAAAATTAGGAAAATAATTTTTTATGCTACTCTCCTCCCCTCCCTCTCCTTTCCTTCAAATCCCCATGTTTTCTGTGCTTTCAAGAATTTAATTATTCTTTTAAAACTTAACACAAACCCAAAGGAACTAATGTGTTGCTTTACTTTTTCACGCAAAAACAACATGGCTCCATAACTAAAAAGAAAATATGTTTTTTTGGTTGAAAAAGAAAGTATTCTTTCTACAACATGAAAAGAAAAAAACTCATTTGTTGAAATGAAAAAAAATAGTTTTTCTACATCATGAAAAGAAAATACTCATTTTGTTAAAATGAAAGAAAAAACTTTTTACTACATTTAGTTGAAATGAAAGAAAAAACTTTATACTACACTAAGTTGAAATGAAAGAAAATATTTTTTCTACATCATGAAAAAAAGATACTCATTTATAACATGAAAAGAAAATACTCTTAATATTATTTCTCTTTAGGTCGGGGGTTGGGGTAGGCGGGGTGGGGTAGGGCGGGGTAGGGGTGGGAGGGGAGGGGTAGGGATGGGTGTTGGGGAGGGGGGTTAGTGGGGATGGCGAATAGGGTGGGGAAGGTTAAAAAAGAGTATTGGAAAATATTTTTCCTTCACTTGATAGGGAAAACATTTTCCTCCAATTGGAGGAAAATGAATTTATCAGAAAAATATTTTCCAAAATATTTAAAACAACCAAACATGAAAAAATTGAAAAATATTTTCCTTCGTACCAAAACACTCACAGGATCTTCTTCACTACCAATTTTCAAACCATTACTGATTTGCAACAAAGTAAATGTAAATCTTAGTATCAAATTTTTCTGGGTTGTAGCATAGATCTCATCCTCTCTAGCACATTCTAGAGTTAAAATATTTATCTGTTTGTTAAACTGCACTCAGTAATGCCATTACTGGACACACTTGTATATTTTATAGAAATATTGACGTATCAACCTAAAGGCTACATTAAATTCTTCAATATCTAGCCTGACCTACAATAGCTTCTAAATAAATAAATATTCTTATTATAACAGTGGACAAGCTGCGGAATAAAACTCAGTGCAGTTTTGTTTTTTGTCTTGAACTCATATACACAGAACGAAACAAAATTTGTCTCCATTTTCAGAACCGTTACTGTCAACAAATCCTTGCACAGAGTATTCATTTCCTATCACTGGATGCAGAAAATCCTACAAGCCATCTTACACCTATAGTTGCTCGTCTACTGGCTTACGATGATTATGGCTACCAACATGGTTGAACCACTCAGCGACTGCCATGTCGATTGCTAATCTTTTCAAAGATTTCTCAAGCAACTTATCTCGGTCAGATTGGGATTGACGTTCACCAAAGTGAAAACATTAGTCTATCTTGTCTTCTTTGTCTCCAGAACGAAGTGCTTCTCTGGCTTCTGATGGAGATGAGGAGCTACTTGGATGATCTACCTGGTCTCTTGAGGGCTCCTCTTTAAGAGACTGCATGACCGTAACCACCAGTAGCACAACGAGAACAAGAATAACTGCTCCGATCCCAATCATTGAGTTTCTGAAAGCCTTGTAAGAATCTGAAGTGATACGTTTCTGTATAACACTTCCTTCCCTGTATCCTTGAAGAAACAGCGTAATTTGGGAACCCTGATCTTCCTCTTCAACACTGTCTGAGCCAATGACCTATTGTTTGTGTAAAATGTCAATATCAGTATATGAAAATCAATTCTATCACTATCAGTATATAAAGTCAGTTACTAATAATTATTAGCTCAATGGTTTCACCTTAGTCCTAAAGCTGGAGAAGTTGCAAATGTCTTTTATAGTATGGTGTCTAGTGTTAGAAACATAATAACTGAAGGATGAAGCGTTTAAACCTAAAGTATGTTTCTTAAGCCTGCCAACACTATGCAATACATCACAACGTCATCTCAAAAATAGATTGAACACCCAAAAAATTCTAAGGTGCCTCTATGGGCTTCACCATATGCATCTTTCTTAAAACCTATGCAAATATGTTTGGACTAGGTAAACAATAAGAATTCAAGATAAAATCAACTTTATGATTTTCATGTAGTGCTTTATTAGTTTATGAAAACATAAGCAGGCATAAAATCTAAAAGTTAAAAGCTCGTACTCCTCATGAAGCAACTTAAACATGCTCATAGAAGAAACAAAGACTAAAATTCCAAATTCATGCAGAACTAAGGTCCAGAATAAGATCATGCCGAATTGTTTTAACCAATTGCCAGAGTCCTACAATATTTGTGATCTGAAACTTCTGGTGGTATCCACTACCTAGAGAGCGCATAAAAATCCAACTGCCGCATTTCTGACAGTACTTAATGTGTTTGGGCTTTTCGTTCCTTGTTTCTCTTTTTCTTTTAGTGCTTACATAGGCTACGTGACGTCTACCAAATCCATCAGGTCTGTCATAGTTCATGATCATTTGTTGAAAATGCAAACCTCTGAAACTCGTACAAGACTCATTAATAATTAATGTTGTATTTCCTTTACAAGCTGAAGGGGAGCCTAGCGTAACTGGTAAAGTTGCTGCCATATGACCAGGAGGTCACGGATTCGAGCCGTGGAAACAGCCTCTTGCAGAAATGCACCCTTGTGGTCCGTCCCTTCCCTGGACCCCACGCATAGCGGGAGCTTAGTGCACCGGGCTACCCTATTTTTTTTTTCTTTACAAGCTGGTTAATTGATAGATGAGAAATTGGCAAAAAAGGGAACAAAGTCTGAACAGCAACCTAGGCTAACTACAGATTCATGCCTCTATATATACTAATAAAATGAGAGAGGACATGATAAAGGAGCATGCAAGCAAATGTTATTAAAAGCAGTAAAACTTTAGGCAAAACTACACTTGCACAGGGAGAGGAACAGAAGGTTTCGAGCTTACTGAAAAGTACTCCTCGTTTCCATCCCACACAACCATCTTTGGTAGTTTAATTTTCTTAGATACTTCAAATGACTCAGCAAAGTCTTGCCATTGCCTGAACCCAACAAAAGCAAACACCAAGTCACGGTTCGCCGATGCAGCAGCTTTCAAGATTTTTACTAATCCTTTTGACCTCTCATCATTCTCATCTTCTACAATTGTTAGAACAATTTTCCTCTCGTCGTCTTTCAACAACTTCAGAGTATCTTGATTAATAGGCAAAGCCAGAGGGAGCAAGCTCTGTTTGATATAATCCTCAAGAAACTTTTCTGCAACCATAGCAGGAAAACTTAGATTCAGACATTGTTTGTACTACAATATTCCAGCTTCAGCTAGAAATAGTTCCCAGTTGTTCTTTAATAAGGTGAAGAGCAGATCAATCTCAGAAACGAGCAATTATAACAAACTAGGAACATCATACAAAGCTCATGTGATGGAACTAGGGGAGCTATTAAAGCAAAAACAACAACAAAAAACCTAGTGAGTTCCCACAAGTGGGGTTTGGGGAGGGTAATGCGTACGCAGACCTTACCTTTACCTTGGGAGGGCAGAGAGGTTGTTTCCGATAGACCCTCGGCTAGAGAGTAGATGAAAAGAAGCATAGGCCACAAGTAGTAAAGACAACAACATGAAATTAAGCAAACCAAAGCGAAAGACATCAATCAAACAGTAAGTAAAGATAGCAATCTACGATTAAAAGAGATACCATACTAATATTAATGCTACTGGTCTGAGAAAGAAAGAGCAAAACGCTCGGCTACCTACTAGCCTTCTACCCTAATTCTCGACCTCCACACCCTCCTATCAAGGGACATGTCCTCGGTACTAAAGCATATAACTGAAACCTTTCAAGAATCAATACATCCGAAGATTTGTCATTTGCATGTTCCAAATGAAAAGGGAATATAGCAAGCACAAGGTTGGGGCTACACCAAAATTTAAAGAACTTACTTACATCCATTTAAAGAACTTATATCGAATAGCAAGTTAACCATCCTTTATGTGTTGATATTTATTTGCTTTAAGGTAGGCATATGATTTTAGTTAATTTCATATCTTGGTGAAGTAGTAATGGTAAGCTGACCTTCAAAGGGGCCATAGAATATGCTCTGTTCATTGTAGCTCGGATGAAGGGCT